ATAAAAAATATAAAATAATTATTTTAAAATTTATTAAATAAAAAATATTATAAAATTATATAATTATATATAAATAAAATTAATATATTAATAAAGATTTAATTAAATTAAAAAATATATATTTTAAATTATTTATAAATAGGTTAAAATCTTTTCTTGAAAAAAAGGGGAGAATTAAAGACTTTAAAACCTTAGAAAATTATTAGTAATCTTGATTATATTCCAAGCCTTTTACAGCCCTTGTTACAGTCCGGGACTATCAAGAAACTTCTGCGTGCCGCAGCTTTGAACTACCCAATATTACCCAGCCCTTACGGCACTCGTGACGTAACAAGGCATTTATGAGACATGCCTTAATGGCCTTGCATACATTCGTCGTATCTATTATATTCCCCCTCAACAATCTAGCCATCTCCACTACACGGGCCTTAGGAATCTGAAAGCCGGTCCGAAGACCAGGAAGAAATATTTAAATATTATCAGCAGAAGGTTAATAGAAAGAGATTTTCGCCTTTGCTCTATTTATTACTCCTAACCATCCTTGACATCATTTTTCATCCCGTCCTCATCCCGTCCTCATCAGCCAATAGCAAGTCGGGGCATCTTTAACCCATGTATCCCACAAACGCTTGGGGACGCCACCATTGTCTAGACCCCGCAACCAGTACTTTTTTAGTACGCTTAACTATTCCGCTATTTCTGGGGCCCTACACGAATCACCGCCAAACCACCATCTACCTTCTTGAGATAGAGACAGGGACGCTTGTAGATTAATGCACTGATGCAGTCGCACTCTTCATTGTCCAACAGACATGCACGTGAGTATCTCAAGAATGTGCCCTTCAAACATATCCATGTACCGGGCCGATACCATTCACAGTCCTCTAGGATGAAGCTCTTTATACACTTGATATCAGCTATGCCGACCTTAGAGATAACCTCGAGGAAGGCGTTGAAAATAACATCATGTTTCTCCGAATCCGGCGTGATCAGATCTAATAAAGTTATCAGATCGTAGATATGCTCATACCACTGCGGGCCGATTTCGTCATTGCTTCCTAGCTCAGGGCTTGATAATCGTGGTCGTTTTCGCCGTACGAAATGTCCGGACGATACCACCGTATCGTTTGTCCCATTGGCTGGCGCTTCGAGTTGTGCTGGCCGGTCACAAATGCCGCCGATAGGATCGGTAGATGATGTAGTGGATGCATTCTGCGATGGGGTTGAGAGATTGAATGAGACGGAGGCGTCCTGGACTCTGGCTTCAGAAACAGAGATGTTCATGTTAATAAGGCATTTCATGCTGCTGGGTATTTCGGGAGGCATTGTAGACAGGGATGACATCAGAATAGGGTATCAATGAGGTTAATTGATGCAGGTGAAGGAGGTTAATGCATATAGGGCTGCTTTTCATGTTGTGAGGCCATCCAGTCAGTTGTGGGATTAGAAAGGAAAGGCGAAGAGGTGACAGAATAAGAGGGGAATTTTAGAGCGGGTGATCAGTTAAGCTGAGGAAGTCGCAACACCCCTTGAGTCATGTCATGGGTATATGGAAGGTCCTACTAGTATAATTGAGGTTGTTTCATCATTCCCGTCTTAAGGCAGGTGGGTTAAGAAAGCCATTTCCATAACGACTACCCGTCACGTATACTTTGCCTTAGCCAGTTTTCATGAGTGGTATTGTACGGAAGGCACATATCTACATGTACCATGTATATGACCACTTCCGGAGTTCTATTATACCTAAAATAAGGAGGTAGGTAGTCACGTCAGTGCATAGCTGCTCTAGGGTTAGGCTTGGGGACATTGGCGTAGAACAACTTCCCGTAGAGATCAATCCCTCAATTTGCCAAAGATATCATGTGCCTATATACAACAAGGCCCCCTATACCCAGCATTACATACAGCTACATGCACCCATATTGAACCCTTTATGCACTACTTACTGTGCTTACATGTAAATCATATACTCCCCCACTGTGCAAAGGAGATTGCCATGACCATAGCAGATGTCGAGACATAACTAAGCCGACAAGTCATTATATGTAATTTTCCCTAGGGTTACCTAGGTATACAATCTTGATTCGTTAACGCTATCAACCTATTGACCTATCTAATATGATAGTCTCGTTCTGCTTATATATAAAACTGTCCTAATCTGAACTCGGACGGACACAATCCAAACTTTCGTGTACTATATCATTATTCAATCGTCTTGGTAGCAGTCTTGATGCAGTCATCAATAATATAAACCCACTTCGTGGCGTTCACGTAGTCTTCCTTATCGATGCTCTCATCGAGCCCAGGGAATACAGCCCCCGCATAGCCGGTCCAAACACCAGGTGCGAAAACAACGTGCTTGAACCAGGGCCGGCTGTCCAGACCAAGTTGGTATAGGAAGGCTCGCTCGATCTTCTTGTACTTGGTGTTGGTGGAGCGAATCTCGTGGAGCAGCTTAAGCTTGCTAAGCCATTTCCACCAGGGAAGTTGTTCATTCGCTTCTTTGGCCAATCTTTCCGACTTGGCATCAAGTTCAATGGCAGATTGCTTAAATGCATCTACAGATTGGTACAAGTGACTCAGTGTATTTTTCAGGGCGTCTGGATCACCTTTGACTTCAGTGCCGGCGGCACGGGCTCTGAACTCGAATATCTCCTTTTCAGTGGACGGCTTCGCTTGAGAAGTTGTCAGCTTCGTCTCAACCTTCTTGATATACTCTTCCAGCGCATTAGCATAATCCGTCGCGTTAAGAGAGAGGAGCGGCAAATCGGCTATCTTCGCGGTGATGAGGCCGAGGACCTGCGCCATTGTTCTGTGATACACAAAGTCAGGGTCGCCAAACTCGGACATCCAATGGAAGCTATCGTAATTGCTATGGTAATGGTAGATCGGAGAATTGCCGGTCTCCTGATTGAAACCGATGTCAAGGCTAGGTATTCCGGCAAAGTCCTGGAAGGCTGTAAAGTCGCTACCGCTTCCTATTGTACTTATCCGTCCATCCCAGAGATCACGTACGGTCTGGCCCTTGATGGTCTGATTGGGCGACTGTACCGAAGCGGTCACATCATAAATTAGCTTGTGGAGCAGAGGAGCGGCCGAGGCAGAGAAAATCGGACCACGAACGCCAACGTCGACGTTGATGTAGGCGACGTTTGCGGCTGTTAGCCACGGTAGATACTCCTCTACCCACTCAGTGCTACCGACTAAACCGTATTCTTCTCCATCCCAACTGGCGAAGACTATGGTTCGCAGGGGCTTCCAACCCTTTTCCAAAGCCTTGCCAAAACTGCGAATAGCCTCATTCAGAACGGCAGACCCGCTGTTGGGATCACCAGCGCCACCAGCTACCCATGCATCGCGATGATTGCCCACCACAATGACCTCGTCGGGGATGGTACCGTTGATAATGCCAATTACATCCCACATAGGCGTTATAGTATATTCCTGTTCGTTGTATAGATTGAGTACAAGGTCATCCGGCGAGGGCCCGATATTATACTCGACTCCTTTGTAATCAAGACCAGTATTCCTGGTCCAATATTGGCCGAAATCTTTAGCGCGAGGGCCAATTCCGTTCAGAGCTTTTAGAATCGGTAGGGCTTCCAAGTAAGATATCGGCAAGGATGGAATGCTTGGTATAGCTCCATCAACCGGCGCTCGGGGCACACCTGGTTTGGAAGGATAGCCGGGAGTTGTTGGATCTCCCGGCGCGACACTGAGGAATTGGACGCTGCCACGTTGAACACTGCTAGGATTCCGCGCAGGACCGTTCGGGTATGTATCGTACCCATTTGCCTCGGTAGTCTCACCATCGTCACCTGGATCCGTGAAAATAACAACACCGATCATACCGAGCTCCTGAGCCCGCTTGACTTTCAACCCTCGGAAGATACCTCCATAACGAGCAACGGCAATTTTACCCTCGAGGCTGACATTAGCTTTGACGAGGTCTTCAAAGTCCCAGTATGTACCGTAGTTCACGTAAACATATGAGCCGGTAACGTTCCCGCTCGCGGAATAGCCATGGAATGTTGGGATACTCTCCTCTAGCTGCGATGTTGGGTCTTCTTCGAGCACGTCTTCTTCTAAAGTGGCTTCGAAGGCTACTTTCCAAGCTTCAGGATCAACGTCATCTGACTTGGCCTTCTCTAGGAGAGCGAGTCTATGGTCGACCGGGTAATTTATGTACGTCTCATACGCTACGACATCAGACTGAATCCCCCATTCGTTCCATCGGTCGCGTGTCCATTCCGCCTACAATGTATTTAAAGCTAAGGATTTCGATCTTATACTTATATCTAAATCAAGGGAGTCTTACCTGAGATAAGTTCTTGCCAGCTAGATGGGGGCCGGATGTGTAATACTTGCTCCACTCGGTAGCCTTAGATGAACTTGGAGTTTCTAAGAGTATGGTTTGGAGCTCTTCATATGTGACGCGGTTCTTATGGTGGCCGGGCCATCCGTGATGAGTGTCATGCTGAGGCGCGAAAACAACGGTGATGATAAAAGTGATGAAAAGAGTAATAAGAGATGAGCCTAGAGCGATGGTGCAGAACCGGCGAATGATTTGATGAGGGTATCTTTGTCGTGGTGGGCCGACAGTAACAGTGGTGATTAACGGTGTATACTCATTGGCCATCTTGTCATCGTGAAGGCCGAGATCAGACTGGGCCAAGGGCATGATGAATATGAGATGGCGTTGAGTTGAGAGCGGTGACAACGAAGCTGCGAATGGCCGCTCTTAGGAATGTTAGGTTGTGTGTCGCCACTCCGACGTAATGAACGTAATGAACCCCGGAAATGTTGCAATCAAGTTCGGCTATGTTCCAGCCTTATCTATGTGGGGCCGGACTAAGACCTCGGAGTTGTACCTCATTAAGCCCGATCCCATAATAGCTATCAGTTACCTAACAATGATTGGCTATTCTGTTTTGCACTTAAGTCTAGCTTAATAATTGAAGTTTGTTAGTGTATACATATGAACAGGCAACTCTATCGATAATAATATTTACTTTCATTCGGGAAGGTAATATAGAGAATGCCCATAAAATCGAAAACAATGCATTATTACAGGCGAGCCCGAATGTGGCTGCGGTAACTTGCATGATTGAGGGTGTACAAACGGGTGTGTCCTACCAAGTATTTTGTAGTTGTCTGGTTCGTATGATTTCATACATCGTCCTTAGCCAATATATCAACCAACAGGGCTCAAGTAAAGCTATCATCTTGTGCGAGCTGGAGTATTAGATCTACAAGTCTGGAGCAGCCGCATTATACATCTTGAAGGAGCTCAGGCTTAACCTACATGGTGGATTACATAACCTAACCTAGTGGATTACCTGCGGGGCGGGAGACTACAGGAGGAGTTATATTTTGGCCAATGAATCTCCTACCTTTCTAATAAAAATGGAGCGCATTCAAGCCTCATAAGCAATAATATCCTTGTTGCAGCGAAGATCCCCTTCCCTCGCATGATCAGGAGGCTGGACGTTGGCGTGTGACCTTTTTAATTTTGGCTTCCTTTCAAATTCGCTAAACCCGTAAAGTTGTTACCGGATCACATTCTACGACATCCGACACCGGACATTTCGAGGCAGCACTTTTGCGTTCCCTTGATACATCGATCTTGGGTGTTCTCTACAAAATCTAGTGGAACATGCAGCGGATGGCGAGGGAGTCTATTTCCGATTCGTAGGCTCGATGTCTCCGGATAGGTCGAAGGCGGGGTCTTTCTTTAAAGACCTTTGTTTCGTCACGATTGAAGGGAAGAAAAAAAAAGCTTTTTACGTACATGCAGCACGCCTTACGCCTCTTAGCCCCTTAGGGAAAAGAGGCAGGTCCACTGCTACCGGGTTGTAATTCAGGACTCGGGATGCAACATGCGGTAAGCGTCGAATCAGAGGCGGTATTCACGGCGTACGAGCCGTCGCGACGGCGTGCTACTACCTTCGGCTTAGCCTTTCTGTATGTAGAACAGAACTCGCATACAGGGAATATACACATACATACATACATACATGTGCAGGGTAACAAGCGCCGATGTACCCATGGCCTAGACATGTTCGGTACGAGATGTGGGTGTCGTCGGGTAGCATTTTCCTCAACGTCTCTTTTATGTTAATAAAGGTGTTGTTCCCCGCTACTTCACGATACCTACATGATTGATTTATCTTTTCCATCTTGGTTGGCCGGTTGTGTGTAACTGTTCCCCGTTCTTTAACTCTCCAGTCTTAAGAGAATAATACATGGACGTGGCGGCTGCTGTGTGGGAGTCTTAACGCTTTAGTTTTTTTTTTTTTTTTCTCTCTCTTTCTTTTTGGACGGGATCCTCGCCCCTCTTATCCCGACAATAAGAGAACCGGCTAATCCCAGTTTCCTTAGACTTTCAAGTCTTCGTCCTTAAACTCGCTTTCTTATTCTATCTTCCAATACGGAACGGACGAAAATGACTAATAGGAAACATGCCCCGAAATTGCCAGCCCAGCAACTGGCCATATTGGGTGAGCTTGGATCTTTCTCTTGCCTACTTTTCGTCGTTTTTTTTTTTTCGTGAACGAGTCTGTTATGCGATAACTATCTGTCAGAGGAGCCTAGTTGTCAGACGGGTCTTATCCGGGATGTTATATTATACAGATCTATTATCTTGCTTAAAATATATCGCTG